CCCCCACACAGCCTTCGCAGCGGTGCTCAAGTCCCGCGCAGGCGCAGGCCGGCCGGGATCTGGCAAGGCACCGTGGATAGCGCACCCTACCGGCCGCGCGCGGCTCTGCTGCGGATGAGCGGGGCGGGCTTGCGTCGGCTGTTTGAAATCATTACCTACCTACTTCCAGAGGCTGGGAAACGCGGCAAAAAGAAATCCTTGCGACGCTTGCTCAGGCGTCCTCAAGCAAGCATGAGGGACTCCGCACGCATGCGCGGAACAGTACGTTGCTTTTCCCACTTGATAGGTGCTGCGTTTGCACAGCCTGATCCTGCGGAACATTCTAGACCCTCCCATTGCCTCTGATAGGAACCTGCTTGCCATTCAGGCCCAGTTCAGTGACTGTCTCAAAAGATGCCCTGAAGCATACCCTGGGAAGGTTCTCGCCTTTCTCCAGCGAGCTGCCTGCTCTTCTCCCATGGGGCCCGTGTGGACCTGGGTTAGGCTGGGTTTGTGGATTCGGTGATGTTGGACCAGCACGCACAGAGAACTCACCTCGTGTGGAGCTGCCTTTTGCTGTATAAGCATGAGTGTTGAGTGATTTCCAGAGCAAAGTACAAAAGTTCGTTAACTATTCTCCAGGATCTTACTGGGGTAAAAAGCTTTCTCTAGGACAGCTGTTCTCAAAATGTGGACTGAGGGCAGCAACCGCATGGGAACATGTGGGAAGTGCAAATTATCACACCACACGTTAGACCTACTGAATCACAATCTCCGGAGCTGGGGTCCAGTAATCTGTTTTAACAAACCCTCCAGGTGATTCTGATGCAGGCTAACGTTTGAGAAGCACTGTTCTAGAAGATATACACAGAGGACTGGTTTCTGTAAGGGAAACAACACACCTGTTGTCAGACAAGGACATGGAAGGGGAGGCCTCTAAGGGGGTGGGCGGGGCTTCAGACTGGGGCTGCTCTGGGGCTGGACACGTGAGCCTCCTCTGAGTGCATCTTACATTCTCAAGGCTGCGTGTTGGCTTCTGTCTCTGCTGACCCATTCTAGACCTCAGTGTCATCCACGGCTTTCCCCTTTACTCTCTTCTAGACCTTGAATCAAGTGTGCAGTGTGGCTCTTCCACCCAAGAACATACCCCAGTTAGGAACCATCTTGCTGTCTTCAAATTCTCCCTCTCTTATCTGTTCCTGTTCCTTCCCATAAGAAAAATCCTGCCTTGCCCCAAACCACCTTAAAACCACCACTTTTTCTTCCCCCTGCAAAGTCGAATGGCATAAAAGAGTTGTCTACACTTTTAGTCTCTAGTTTTTCACCTCCCACTCTTCACTGAAAGCAGCCTTCTGTGTCCCACCGGTGTGGGGAGGGGAGCTGATCTAGTCAAGACCACCCACATCATCCATGTTGCTGAACCTGAAGGATCCTTCTCGGGTTTTACCTTTCTTGACCTCTGGAACATGGAATGCTGAGGGTCTCTCCCTCCCTTTCATAATCTGATTCCTTGGCTTCCCTGGCACCACAACTGCCAATTTTTCCTATTATTTTTCTGGTTACGCCTTCTCCTTTCTCCTTTGCAGGATTTCATCTGCCCGCCTCTTAAGTGTTGGTGCTTTGGGGGACCTCATTCCAGGTAGTACTCTTACGATTTGTGTGTGTGTGTGTGATTAATTGACAAACTTCAGTTAATTGACAAACTTCAGGGAGTTATGCCAATTAGCATTTCAGTCAGCCACCAAAATATGTTTCTCTCCCTTGCAAAAACTGGATTTAAAAAATTTGGGAGGGGGTCTTCCCTGGTGGTGCAGTGGTTAAGAATCCGCCTGCCAAGGCAGGGGACATGGGTTCGAGCCCTGGTCCAGGAAGATCCACATGCTTCGGAGGAACTAAGCCCGTGCGCCACAAGTAGTGAAGCCTGTGCGATATAGCTACTGAAGTCTGCACTCCTAGAGCCCATGCTCTGCAATGAGAAGACTGCGCACCACAACGAAGAGTAGCCCCCACTCGCCACAACTAGAGAAAGCCCGTGCGCAGCAACGAAGACCCAACGAGGCCAAAATAATTAAATAAAATAATTCTTTTTTTTGCCAATTATTGGTCATTTACATTAAGTGGAAAACAAAACTGGTTAGAAACAGCACCTACAATATGATCCCATTTACGTGAAACAGTTTGTGTCTCTGAGTATGTGCTTGTATGTGTGAGCATAAAGTGTCTGGAAGGCTGACTGCCAGCCTCCTTTCTCTTTCCCCTCCCCTGGCTGTTTTCAGTTCCTTAAATATGCTGAATTATTTCCCACCTAAGGGCCTTTGTATAAATTGTTCCCCCTTCAGGGAACAGTGCAGAAAGCCACAGGCAACCCCAGCCAAGGAAAAGGACCACTGCTTCATGACCCCAAGCCCCTTCCTTGCAGGAGGCAGGTGTAGGAGGAGGAGGAGACTGGTCTTTGAGCCTAACCAAGGGAAAGGAAAGCTCTAAGGCAGATACAAGATAGAAGTTTGAAAGACTTGGCTAGATTTTTTTAATACTTGACAGTAAGATAGAAAATAAGATAGTTTTTCAAGATGAAAGTAACCAGAAAGCAATGGGATTTGCCGAATTTCAATCAAGGAGTGAGGCAGGAAGAACAAAAAGATGACATTTAAGCCCTTTTTCTGATTGTATCTTACTGAACTCATTCTGTTCAAAATACTGGTTGTATATATATATATATATATATATATTTAACCATTCCCTTTACTAGCTACTCCAAAGACATCCAGTTCCTCCTCATTCTTAGCAGATTTTACTTCACAGAGAAAAAGATAGAGGCCTTGGTGGTAGCAGTGGTGGCAACTGACTCTCTAAACTATTAAAGCCTTGCACAAACTCACATACTTATCTCTTTCTGCTGAAGGCATCCAGAATATACCACTTCAGGAGCTTTGTTTGGAACTACCCTTATCTACCTAAAAGTAGAGCCTCCCAAAAGATTTCAAGTGTTATAAATCCTCTCCCCAGGAGTCTAGCAACCAGGAAAGATTGACTCATCACTGAAGAGGAGAATTTGGCTCAGGGATAAGAAATCACCTAAGCAGACATTCTCACAAAGCCATCATATCTCTATTCTCGTAAGAAACCATTTATCTTTTCCTAAAAATCATTTGTTTTCCCATAGGTGTCCTTCCCCTTCTCCTTCCCTTCGATGGAAGAAATGTTCACATACTGAGGTATGGGGAAGTTATTCTGGTTTATACATGATTTGGCTTGAACTTTATGCTAACTAAAATAGTCTGTCTTATCACCTGTCAACCATATATTGTACACGTACTTTAACCATTGAAAGAATGTTGCCCACCATCCAGTTATATAAAGGGTTAAGTCACAGTCCGTTGCTGTGGCTCACAGTGGGAGCCCTGAAGGGAATTCAGGGGGAAAAAAACAGCCCAGGACAAGGCATTCTGCCTTTTGAATAAACTGGCCCCTAGATAGTTACGATGCAGACCTCAGGAAGAATTTCAATGACCCTAGATTCTTGCATCTTCCCATACATAGAAGGTCACTAAAATCATTAACTTGCGATAGCTGTTCTTTGTGATTAGCAATCATCTTTTATCAGGATCTATGCTTGACCAGCCAAAAACATCAGATATCTCTGGGCTCCTCCCCTACCTCTTCAGAACGGTCTTCTCAGAGCTGCTGAGAGGCTGTTTCTCAAGCTATAGTCCTCAGTTTGGCTTGAATAAAACTCCCTTCTATTCTTATTTAGATTGTTTATTGATTATTTGCAGCAGCACCTTATTAAGATGATATTGGGTTGGACAAAAAATTCGTTCGGGTTTTTCATGAAGCCGGGTTACGAAAAACCCGAACGAACTTTTTGGCCAGCCCAATATATATAAGCCCCAAATTCTAACTGCCACCATGAGTTATATTTTTCTGTGAATGCCCATGTAAGTATGTGAATAAAAATCTCTTTCCTCTGTACAAAGGTAAAGGGGAAAAGAATTTGAAAAAGAAGAGATACAGGTATATGTATAACTGAATCACTTTGCTATACACCTGAAACTTACACATTGTTAATCAACTATGTTCCAATTAAAAAAAAAAAAAAAGAACACCTCTTTTCTCTTGCTAATCTATCATTTGGAAGTTTAATTTGCCAGCCCTCAAGAGATGAACCTAAGAGTGTAGAGAGAAAGTTTTCCTCTCCAACACTGCATTAAGCCTACCTCCTTCTTCCCATAGCAGCAGAGGCATCTTTCTTACCAAAGCCAGTACCTCCACCTGTGTTCTCAGTCCATCTGCTTCCCTACTCCCCCTCCCAGTCCTTAGGGACTTCGCCCAATTTATTTTTTTTTTAAGTAAAATTTTTGTTCAGAATATATTAGATTTACACAAAATTTGCAAAGATAGTACAGATTGTTTCTGTTTATCCCTTACCCAGTTTTCCCTGTTGATAGCATCTTACATTACCATTATACATTTGCCACAGCTAAGGAACCAGCATTAACCAAACTCCACAGTTTGGCGTTATTCTCTTGGTTAGACTGGGGTTATGGGTTAGGGGGAGGAAGACCACAGAAGGAAGTGCCCTTCTCATCACATCATAGGGTTCGTGTTATCAACATGACCTATCACTGTTGCTATTAACCTTGATCATCTGGCTGAGGCAGTGTTTGTCAGGTTTTTCCACTGTGAAGTTACTCCCTTCTCCTTCCCCTTCCATACACTACTCTTCTTTTTTTTTTTTTTTTTTGCAGTACGCGGGCCTCTCACTGCCGTGGCCTCTTCCATCGCGAAGCACAGGCTCTGGACGCACAGGCTCAGCGGCCACGGCTCACGGGCCCAGCCGCTCCGTGGCACGTGGGATCCTCCC